TCTTCTCTTCACCCACGGGCCCCGCCCGCAAACGTTCCTGCAGGCCGCAGCTTGGCCCAGAAAGCTTTTTCTATGGGCTTCCGAAGGCAACGTTAGACACCCACGGGCCCCGCCCTCAAACCCTCCTCGGCAGCCGGCAGGCCTGCCGCGGCCTCTCGAGAGGCCTGTCCGAAGCCTGCCTCTTCTCTTCGCCCATGGGCCCCGCCCGCAAACGTTCCTGCAGGCCGCAGCTTGGCCCAGAAAGCTTTTTCTATGGGCTTCCGAAGGCAACGTTAGACAATCACGGGCCCCGCCCTCAAAACCTCCTCGGCAGCCGGCAGGCCTGCCGCGGCCTCTCTGTGGCCTGTCCGAAGCCTGCCTCTTCTCTTCACCCACGGGCCCCGGCCGCAAACGTTCCTGCAGGCCGCAGCTTGGCCCAGAAAGCTTTTTCTATGGGCTTCCGAAGGCAACGTTAGACACCCACGGGCCCCGCCCTCAAACCCTCCTCGGCAGCCGGCAGGCCTGCCGCGGCCTCTCTGTGGCCTGTCCGAAGCCTGCCTCTTCTCTTCGCCCACGGGCCCCGCCCGCAAACGTTCCTGCAGGCCGCAGCTTGGCCCAGAAAGCTTTTTCTATGGGCTTCCGAAGGCAACGTTAGACACCCACGGGCCCCGCCCTCAAACCCTTCTCGGCAGCCGGCAGGCCTGCCGCGGCCTCTCTGCGGCCTGTCCGAAGCCTGCGAAAGCCGGTCTTATTCGTGGTCGCTTCTATTTCGTCGTGTCGCGCTTGCTCTCCGGAACTCGCCAGCTTTTTGTCGGGCATTGTTTTCCTGAAGGTGTGTTGTGTGTGGCCTGAATGCGCCCAAAGAGCAGCATTGACCAGACCACACTGTGGCACGCGGGGCACCTTTGCGGATGCTGGCGTGTCTGCGCGCTAACAGTGCCTTCTTTGACGTAAAACTGGTTGCCGCACACGGTTCGGTGATCTATTTGCCCTGTTTTCAGATTGCTTGCAACGTGCCCTTTGCAAAATGGACAAACATAGTCACACTTCCTCGCGGCAACGTCTCCGTCTTTGACACGAAAACGATGCCCGCATGCACGGCGGCGATCTATTTGGCCTGTGCGTACGCTGCTGCTCACCGACGCCGCACAAAAAGGACACGCATATTGGAACATTTCCTTGCCGGCTTTCCGTCCAGGCAACTTTGCCGGCGCTGCGTTTGTCTCCTTCGCGGCTCTCGCCGTGGCCTGCGTATCTTGTTGCGGTCTGGCCTGCGCGTCTGCGCGTTGATCGTCGTGCGTTGTAGGCCCGCCCTCTGTAACACTGTTTCGTGGTGGCGCCGGCACTGTCCTGGCCTTGGCGTTTGTGCCCGTTTGGGTTTCGGTTGGAGCTCGACCCTTGTCAGGGTCCTGTTCCCCTTGCAGTTTGTGGTCTGTGCGCACTTGGATGCTCACCGACACGTGTTTTGCACGCTTCGCTACAGGCGCTGCCCTGTGACAACCCGGGTGCACTCGTTGGCAAGCACGAAGATGCGTGCTCCGCAAATTTAGGGGGTAAATTTACCCGCCGCTTTTGTATGCCTTGAGTCGGAAAGAGGGGTAAGCATTTCTGACATCATACGGACTGCACATACAGTAGGGCGTCCGTAGTGTAGGCTAAGCACTGGTAAAAGGTATAAGGACTGGAGTGTCTTGAGGAAATAGCCGGCTTATGGTTATGGCAAATCTGGGGCGTCAATTTACCACCCGCTTATCTATGCCTTCAGCCGGAACGAGGGGTAAGCATCACAAGGACTGTGCATACACTAGGGCATCCGTAGTGTAGGATAAGCACTGGTAAAAGGTGTCAAGAATAGAGTGTCTTGAGGAAATAGCCGGTGTATGGTTATAGCAGCCAGCAGCACCACGCAGCAGCAGCGCCGCGCTCCTCCCCCAAGAAAAGGGGTCGGCGGCACCAGGGCGGAGCCCTTACTATTATTAGTAATGACTTGTAAGATTCTGTAAGGATTTCATCGGATTTCAGCTGTGCCATTGCGCCTATCTTTCACCGCGATTCATCGGCGATTCCCTAAGTCCGCGAGCGT